TGGACACACTGACAGATGTATGTATAGATGAGGGATGGACACACTGATAGATGTGTGTATAGATGAGGGATGGACACACAGAAAAATGTTATTCATTCTCAGAGGTTGGTTAGTAGTGGTGTCAGAGTTATGGGAATTGGTAGATTTCTTCCTGAAGTGATAGAAATTCTTTAATTATATAATAACTACAGCAAATTTGAAAATTTATACTAAAATTCACTTTCAAGATTTTTTTTTAAGCTGAGCAGTGGTGGTGCACGCCTTTATTCCCAGCAGAGCAGCCCAATCTCTGTAAGTTTGAGGCCAGCTTGGTCTACAGAGAGAGTTTCAGGATAGCTAGGGCTAAACAGAGAACCCCTGTCTCAAAACCCAAAAGAGGATTATTTTTAATTATGTGAGTGCTCATGTGTCTGCATGTGCGGATGTCCTCAGAGTTCTGAAGAGGATGTTGGATTCCCCTGGAACTGGAGTTCGGGCAGCTGTGAGCCTCCAGCTGGGAAATGGACTCTAGTTCTCTGCAAAAGCAGTGCACACCAGGGACATCTTGCTTTGTGCTGTGCTTCTTAAGAAAGACAAACAAGGGCTGGAGAAATATCTCACTGATGAAGAGCACTGGCTGCTCTTCCAGAGGTCCTGGGTTCAGTTCCCAGCACCACATGGTGGCTCACAACCATCTGTAAGGGGATCTGACGCCCTCTTCTGTACTGCAGACCTACAGGAAGACAGAGCGCTCATACACAAAGATAAATAAACCTCTAAAGAAAGACAAATAAATAAGACCTAAAACTGGGTGCACCCTTGGCAAGCTGGGTCAAGAGGACTGCAGCAGATCCAAGGCCAGGCCGGGCTACATAGCAAGAGTCACAACAGCCAGGGTTACACAGCAAAACTCTGTCCTTAGAAGCCAACAACACAGGGCTGGAGTGGTGGCTCAGCCTGCAAGAGCATTGCTGCCCCCAAAGAGACCCTGGTTTGGGTCCCAGTATCCATGGAATAGATTACAACCTGTAACTCCCGAGCCAGAGAATCTGATGCCCCCTTCTGGCCTTTGTGGGCACTGCATGAATATGTTGCACAGACAAATATCCAAGCAAAACATCATACACAAAAATTAAAAATAGATTAAAAACAAAAACAGAACAACAGTAAAAATCCCATCGACTGCTAAAAGTAAAGTTAGTTTTAATTTTTTTAAAAAAAATGGTCAGATATTAATTCTAGAACGGTCTTTTTTGTCCACCACCTGACTCCTTTATCTAACAGGAAATTGAATCTGTCATCTGGTTTTTGTTTTGTTTTTAAATTTGGAGTTAGGGTCTCATACCTGAGACCTAATCTATCCTAGAACCCACTATGTATGGAGACTGGCCCTGATCTCTAGATCACCCTCTTTAATTAGACTCTTGAGGGCTGGGATCACAAGCATGAACCACTACACCAGGTTAGACTTCTGTCTGAGAAGATGTCTTACCTTTAGCAGCAGGACTCAACGGAAACTCCATTCCCAGACTCTGAGCACCAGACCTCGGTCACTGTGGATCTATTAAAGGCAGCAACTCTCCACAGCGGGAATCCAGCTTCAGGCAAGCCAAGTCATCCGACCTAGTGGGTCCAATGTTCAGAATGGCAATGGGAAGCTTCTTCTCCCGGGCCGTGAGGATGAATCGGTAACCAGAGTACACCTGCCCAGATGGAAGACAAGAGTTCACTCTAGATCCAGGAAAAGAACCACCTCACAACCTCAGAAACAAAACACAACAAAAAAAAAAGATAAAAGGGAGAAGAGGAGCCAGTGAGATAGCTCTACAGGTAAAGGAGCCAGCAGCCATGCCAGATGGTGTGAGTTCAATTCCCAAAAGCCATGATGAAAGGTAGGTAGGGGGGAACTGACCCCACAAGTTGTTGTCTGACCTACAGACAATTAACCACCAACCAGTCAATCAATCACTCAGTCTACGAGTCTGCAAAGGGGTGGTGGTACTTGGGAAATGGTTCATTGGAGAAATTCTTGCTGCCCAAGTGTGGGAACCTGAGATCAGATTCCCAGCATCCATGTAAACACTGGGTTTGGTGGGAGTCGTGTGCAAACCTAATGTTCACAGAGGGAAACCACATGGTTCCTAGGTGCTCAGGGCCTCTAAGTTCAGTGAGAGACTGTCTCACACATTATGCCAGGGATTGGAGAGATGGTTCGGTGGTTAAGAGCACTTGTTGCTCTTGCAGAGGACCTGGGTTCAGTTCCCAACACCCAGAGCTGTTGAAACCCTGTCTCGGGGGCTGGAAAAATGGCTCAGCGGTTAAGAGCACCGCTTGCTCGTCTAAAGGCCCTGAGTTCAATTCCCAGCAACCACATGGTGGCTTACAACCATCTGTAATGAGATCTGGTGCCCTCTTCTGGTCTGCAAGCATAAATGTGGACAGAATACTGTATACATAATAAATAAATAAATCTTTAAAGAAAAGAAAGAAAAACACCAACAAAACAAAACAAAATGTCCCACAAAGTGATCTTTAAAAAAAAAAAAAGAAACCCTGTCTCAAAACAAAAACAGTAACAGACACCCAACACTGAGACGCCTGCATATACATGTGCATGCATATACACACACACTCACACACGAAGACTAAAAGGGAAGCCCAGGTAAGAACAAACCTCTAGGACTTCACACTCTATAAAACGGGCAAGGGCCTCTGCGACCCTGGCAGAGTCTGGTACCTGCAGGGACGATCCGACCACCAGTAGCGAATCGGCCTCTTTCACGCGCCTGTGCACAAAGTCAACCTTGTCTGGGTTCACTGTGTCCCCAAAGAAAACGACATCTGGTTTCAGAGGACCTCCACATCGATCACAGGACGGGACCTGAAAGCTCCGGACCTGCTCCTCAGTGAGGAACACATCACCGTCAGGGGCCACGCCCTGTGCCTCAGCGCTCCAGCTGGGGTTCAGGACTTGGAAGCGTTCCTGCAGTACCCTGCGAGGAGTCTGTTCCCCACAGTTCAGGCACAGGACTCTAAAGGCAATATGAGACCTTCTGAGTATAGTTCCGGGAGGGATAAAACCCCAACCATATTCAACCCCACAAAAAAAAAAACAGTCACAAGTAGCACATCCATTTTCATTTTCGTGTTCTCCTTTCCCTCCTTTGCAACCTTCTAGAATAGTGCGACCCTTTGGGGTTGAACGACTTTTTCACAAGGGGTCGGATATCTAATATCCTGCATAACAGATATTTATGTTATGATTCAAAACAGTGACAAAATTATAGTTATGAAGTAACGACAAACATAATTCTTTGACTGGGGTCACCACAACACGAGGAACCATATTAAAGGATCGCAGCGTTAGGAAGGCTGAGAACCACAAGGCTAGAACAAGGTCCTGAGTGATGTTTATCACTCCATTTGGGTATGGCCAGCCACCATTTTGTCTACACTCAATCGCCTTGGTACTCAAACCTGTGCCCCTCCGCACTCTCGTCTGCCCCTCCGCGGTGCCTGTCACTATCACTCCCTGTGGAGACACTTTTTGAAGGGTGGTGGCACACGCCTTTAATCCCAGCACTAGGGAGGCAGAGGCAGGCGGGTCTCTGTGACTTTGAGAACAGCCTGGTCTACACACAGAGTGACTTACAGGTTACTCAAGGCTACATAGAGAGACTCCATATAAACAAACAAATAAGAAGAAACAAGAAGTGAGCGTGTTAGGGAGTTAATTCCCCAACAGTGATGAGATTGGAGATGGTTTATTAACACCCTGGTTTTCTTCACTTTTGGTGAAATAATTCTCTTTTTTTCAGCCCAAACTCGGGGTTAGCAATACTACTCACTACCCCCATAGTGGCTCTTTATGTACAGTTGCGATAACTCTGAACTACAGTCTAGACTGGGAGTCCCCAGGGTACAGCCCCACTCACACTACAGTCTAGACTGGGGGTCCCCAGAGTACAGCCCCACTCACACTACAGTCTAGACTGGGGGTCCCCAGGGTGCAGCCCCACTCACGCTACAGTCTAGACTGAGGGTCCCCGCGGGGTGCAGCCCCACTCACATTTTTCCTGGTGCTGGGAAACTGAACCCAGAGCTTTGCACACGCGAGCAGCTCACCACACAAGCCAGCCTGCTCCCTTCCCTGTTTCTGTCCCTGCGTCCCCTCTCAGTTCTCTAGGCTATCTCCAAAGGCGACGACTTGCTCAGGAAGCCTTGACTGTGAAACTAAGACAACCTGGTCAAGGCAGCCAACCGCCCTTCGCCTGGGGAACCATGCATCCTTTTATGGGCAAACCCCGTAGGCACCGGCACCTGTGCATGCATCCATGGAGCTCTGTCAGCCGCTGGTTCCCCGCCTTGGAGTGCAGAGCATCCACATTCTGAGTCACCAACCAGTGCAGCTTCCCCAGTTTCTCCCAGTTGCTTAAGGCCCAGTGTGCTGGGTTGGGTTGGTGAGAGGAGAACTGAGGCCAGCCCACAAAGTTTCTGGCCCAGTACCGCTGACGAACTGGAGCGCTTCGGATGAAATCAATATGCTGGATGGGTCTCCGGTCTGTGCGGGCATAAAGACCCACCTTTTCCGACCTGTAGTCTGGGATCCCCGACTCCGTGGAGATTCCTGCACCAGTCATCACCAGAAGTTTCTTGGAAAGGGTAATGAAGCGCTGTAACTCTTTGATCTTCTCAGGGTCCAAAGGAGGGCTTGGCGGCACAAATAACCCAGTAGGTCCATGAGAACACGGCCGGCTGAGGTTCGCCGTCCAATGGGCCTTTGTTGACCTGAAAGTCAATCCACTCATTCTCCTTCTAGAGAAAAAGAAATCCATGAGAGAAACTGGATTTTACCCAGAAAGTTAACCACCAAGTGAGGAATGAATAAACAAAAAGCATGTCTATCCACTGCGGGTACACATTCAGCTATGAAAATTTGCCACGGGGGTCCATGCCTAGAATTGCAGCACTCGGGAGATGGAGGCAGGAAGGTTAAGGGCTATCCTCAGCTAATGAGTTAGAGGCCAGTCTGGGCTAAACTCAAAAGAGAGAAATCAAATCGAGAGACAGTACATGGTGGGGGGTTGTGCTAAATGTAAGAAGTCAGTTACAGGGTTGGAGAGATGGATCAGAGGTTAAGGGCACTGGTTGTTCTTCCAAAGGTTCTGGGTTAAATTCCGGCACCCACATGGGGGCTCACAACCATCTGTAACTCTAGTTTCAGGTGATCAGACCCCGTCTTCTGGCCTCCGCAAGCACTGGGAGCAAAGATGGTACACAAATATATGTGCAGGTAAAATATACGTAAAATTTAATTTAGCAAAATTTAAATATTTTAAAAACAAACTTTTCGTCCCTCCATGGAGCCCTGACTGTCCTGGAACTCGCTCTGTAGACCAGGCTAGCCTCGAACTCACAGAAATCCATCTGCCTTCTCTGCCTCCTGAGTCCTGGGATTAAAGGCGTCGTGCAGCACCACATGGGTCTACTTATCTGTATTTTCGCTGACACTATCCATCAAGGGACTATTTGTTCTCTAACCCTGCTTTGTTTAAATCAGGATTATTACTTTTTCTTTTCTTTTCTTTTCTTTTTTCTTTTCTTGAGACAGGATGCCTGTAGCCCAGGCCAAGGATAGGGGCACACCCAGCTAAACCAGAATTACCTTATTTCTCCATGAGATATTTGAATTCCAGTATGTTAGGGTTTTTTTTTTTAATTTTCTCTTTTGTTGTTTGTTTTTGTTTTGTTTTTCGACATGGTGCTGGGTATCCGCAACACTATGTAATCAATCATTCTATCACCGAGCTATACTCCAGTCCAACATGGCAGTTTTCAGGATGTTGATCTGATCTTTCAGGCTTTTGGTCTTATTCGTGTCTTCACATGCATACTTTAAATTCCTTCATTTCCCCCATAGTAACTGTTTACTGTGCTCTGTAAATTCTGCTATTTGGTCACAGAAGACAATACGCGCGCCTACACACACACACACACACACACACACACACACACACACACCTGCCTATCAGGTTTTCTAGTTTTAAAAACAAGCATTTGATATATCCTTTGATCTAATGCAGAAATTACCTAGCCACAGGCAAACATTTTAGGCTTGGCTTTCTACACCTAAGGTCAGGACCCGGCTTTCTCCATGACATTCCACAACTACACGTGAAAGCTAAACAAACAGCCGGGCTTGTTTTCCTCCGTGTCACCTCAGGAACAAAGAGGACAAATGGAATCCCCTGTTTAAAAAAAAAAAATGCACAGCTCGAAACCTAATGCCAAATCAGAAGACTATCTTACCTTCCACAATTTTCACCATGGACTAGTTTGCTACCTACCTGTGTATCTTGGGAAGTGTAGTCGTGAAGCGGACTTAATTGGAAAGCAAACTACAAGTCCCACAATCCTGCGAGTCTCCCACTTCAAGGTCCTACCGCAGTCCTCCCCTGACTTCCGTTTGTCTTTCCTGGTCAGCTCAGTTAAGGTTCCGGGTGCGCTGCTGATACCTGGGATTATGAGTGCCTTTTTGGGTTTTTGTGTTTGGTTAATTGGTTGGTCTTTCTGTGTTATGTTGTTTTTTTGAGGCAGAGTCTCTGACTCCAAATTCCTGATCCTCCTGGCTCCACTTCAAAAGTGCTCGGATTACGGGCTAGTGCCACCATACCTGGCAGAGAAATGGTTAATGTTTCCAAAGTCCTGTGTGCAAAATAGCATCTAAACAGCCCTTCTTTAGGAATTCACCCTATTTTTTTGGTTTTTGAGACAGGGTTTCTCTTTGTACCCTTAGCCTGTATAGACCAGGCTGGCCTCGAACTCAGAGATCTGTCTGACTCTCTCTGCCTCTTAGTGCTGGACGAAAGGTGTGGGTCACCATACCTAGCTAAAAGACACTTAATAATTTAGAATTGACTTGTTTTTTTTTCTTTTTTATTTATGTTGCTGTTTGTTTGTTTTTGTCTTTGTTTTGTCTTTTTGAGACAGGGTCTTACTATATAGCCTTGACTGACCTGGAACTTGTTATGTAGACCAGGCTTGACCTCCAATTCATAGAGATTTGCCTCACCTCTGCCTCCCCAGAACTGTGACTAAAGGCATGTGCCACCATGATTGGCAGAATTGACTCGGTTTCCTCTACGGTTTCCTCTTCCATTTCAAAGTAATTAAATGTCCTGCTATGAGGTAAATATGGATTGGGGCATGCCAAGTGGCTCAGCAGGTAAAGACTTGCTCCACAGGCCTGGCAGCCTGACTTTGATCCCTGGGACCCACAGGAAGGTGGAAGGAGAGAACCGACTCCACAAAGTGGTCCTTTGCTTCACATGTGCATACATATTTTTATGAGAGAGAGAGAGAAAGAGAGAGAGAGCGCGCCAGGCGGTGGTGGCTCACGCCTTTAATCCCAGCACTCAGGAGGCAGAAGCAGGCGATCTCTGCAAATTCGAGGCCAGCCTGGTCTACAAGATCTAGTTCCAGAACAGGCTCTAAAGCCACAGAGAAACCCTGTCCCGAAAAACAAAAAAAAGAAAAAAAAACAAACGAAAGAAAAGAAAAAAAAGAAAGGAAGGAAGGAAGGAAGGAAGGAAGATAAAGAATTATAGGTGCTAGAGAGACAAGACTCTGCCTCAAAGGAATAAAGTAGCCAGGCAGTGGTGGTGGTGCACACCTTAAATCCCAGCACTAAGGAGGCAGAGGCAGGTGGATCTCTGTGAGTTCAAGGCCAGCCTCGTCTACACAGGGCGAGTTCCAAGACCAAGACAGACTCCAAAGTTACAGAGAAACCCTGTCTCAAAAAGGAAAAAAAAAAGGTATAAAATAAGAGTAATAGAGAAGGATCCCAAACATTCCTTTCTGGCCTCCACTGGCTCCCCTACACATATGTACATACAGACATACATACACACACAAAAAAAAAACCCAATATGGATTATGAGGAATATATCCATAAACTTGAAAATGGATGATTTTGAAGTTTTATGAACAAAGCCAAGTATAATGCATAGAGATGTATACACTTACTCTCTTGACCAGAAAGATCCACCTGCCTCTGCCTCCTAAGTACTAGGATCAAAGGTCAAAGGTTCAGCTCCTGTTTGATTTTTTTTTTCTTTTTGGTTTTTTAAGACAGAGTTTCTATGCGTAACAGTCCTGGCACGTGCTCTGTAAACCAGGCTGGCCTCCAACTCACAGAGGTCCATCAGCCTCTGCCTCCTGAATGCTGGGATTAAAGATGTGTGCCACCATCACCCAGTTATACTGTTTGAATTTTGATAAGTAGCAAAAGTCAAAATAAAAATGGAGAATATTCCTTAGGAAAGAAGTTCAGACACAGGTTATGAACAGCTTTCTACTCGACAAAATAAAACAGGCAGAGGAACTTACTTCACATTTTATATGCTGCAGCATTGCTGAGGAATAAAGCCACTTAACCTCTCCAACCTTGGGTTCTTCTCTTCTTCTTCTTCTTCTTCTTCTTCTTCTTCTTCTCTTCTTTTTGTTTGTTTGTTTGTTTGTTGAGTCAGGGTTTCTCTGTAAAACAGTCCTGACTGTCTTGGAACTCACTCTATAGACCAGGCTGGCCTTGAACTCATAGACAGAGATCCACTTGCTTCTGCCTCGCAAGTGCTAGGATTAAAAGTGTACGCCAGCACCCAGTTTGGGTTTTATTTCTTACAAAGGGGTGGGGTTGGATGTGATGGCCTTTAATCTTTGGCACTGGGGTGAATTCAATCCCTGGGACCCACATAGTGGAAGGAGAGAATTACATCCCACAAGTTGTCCTTAGACCTACACACACACACACACACACACACATACACACACACGTGCATGTGCAAATAAATAAATGTAATCAGAATTCATTTTTAATTGAAAACAGGAACCCAGGCTGATACTTGTACACCAATATCAGCATTATTTGTATTAGACAAAAGGTTCAAACAAACAAGCTAATGAGGTTAACTGAAATCACCATTATTGCTAACTAAAAAATAAGTAAGTAAATAAAATTCGATTAGATGGGAAATTATTGAGCCATAAAAAGGTATGAGATCTAGATGAGTATTACAGTATGGATGAGTCATAAAAATGTTACAGTAGGCCGGGAAGTTGTGGCACACGTCTTTAATCCCGGCACTTGGAAGGCAGAGGCACACACACACACACAAAATTATACTAAGGGACTGGACAGAGATGATTAGCGGTTAAAGCCCTGGCTGCTCTTGTAGAGGATCTGGGTTTAGTTCCCAACACCCACGTGGTGACTCACAAACCTGAGTGAGACTCCAGGATCTGATACCTTCTTCTGACTTCCATGGGTACCAGGCATTCCCATGAGGCACATGTGCAAGTAAAACACTCATACACATAAATAAATCTTAGCAATAATCCTTCCGTCCTTCTTCCTTCCTTTCTTCCTTCCTTCCTTCCTTCCTTCCTTCCTTCCTTCCTTCCTTCCTTCCTT